GTATGTATGTATATGTATGTAGGTAGGTAGGTAGGTAGGTAGGTAGGTAGGTAGGTAGGTAGGTATGTAAGTATGTATGTATGTATGTATGTATGTATGTATGTATGCACGAATGTATGCATGTATGCATGTATGCAGGCATGCATGCATGCATGCATGCATGCATGCATAAGATGTGACATAGGAACAATAGCGCCCGCCAAATACGCACATAGGTGTATAAAACATAGCAGACAGATAGATGGCGAGATAGATGGATAGATAGATATTTGCACACTCTAGAAATGCGTACAAACATAAACATAAAGACAAGCATGAGAACGAACTAGGCAAGATAACTATAAGAAAATGTGTACAAAAACCCGAAAACGTGCACAACTAATAATGAACACATACACCCGTCAAACTTAACAGCTTTGCAGCTATAAGCACCGAGCCCTGCTACTTAACCCTGCTCTGTGCCTGCAAGCCCTGAAGGCAGACTCGGAAAAACCAATCTTAAAAGCTACACCTCCAAGCCCATATGCCTGGACCCTCAACCCCAAATCATGAACAAAAACGAAAGCCGCAAGTCATCCCCAGGATTCCCCAGGTATGAGCCGCTAAAGGCCTAGACCTATACACTCAATCAGGTATGTTATGTCCCCTCGACGTTGTAGCCAGGGGGCGAGTGTAGAGGGTTTATATACGGCGTAATTAGGGAGTAGGGTCTAGGGTAGAGGGGTTTGAGTATGGGGTGGTAGCTTTTGTGGGGTGTAGGTTTGGAGAATTCGAGGCTGAGGGCCTACGGTAACGCTGCCTTCAAGTCCTACAGCATCCTACCGCTGAAAGAAGTTGATAGTTCTCTGTAGGAGCGTAAACCCCCCAACAAAAAAAAGCAATTGCGACGAAACCCAACGTCACAGACATCTAGGCCGAAACCTCAAAAGCTCTGATTCTGGCCTATGGTTTGATCCAGACAGAGCCCAAAGAGCATAAACCCAGATTCTGAACGCATCAGGGATCCCTTTAAAGGAACCCTTATTCTACTTAGGCCCCTAGATTACGAGGCTTGAAACGTGAATCGCGTGTCCAGAAGAAAGGTCAAGGGTTCAGTTGTAGTACCTTTTATAGATAAGCCTAAACCCTCAACCCAAACCCCTAAACCCTCAGCCCGAACCCCTAAACCCTAAACCCCTAAACCCCTAAACCGCAAACCCTAAACCCTAAACCCTAAACCCCAAAACCCTCAACCCGAAATCTCACCTCGAGCTTGGAGCAAGTAGAGCCGGATGTCGTTGCCGGCCCGCCGACTCCAGCTGCGGGCTAAAGCCAGAAATTGGCCTAGCCGGCGGCTTAGGGGTGTAGGGTTTAGGGGTTTAGGGGTTTAGGGGTTGAGGGTTTAGGGTTTTAGGGTTTAGGGTTTAGGGTTTAGGGTTTTGCAGGGTTTTCGAGTTTAATTATAGGGATTGACGACAGAACCCAACCTTTGGCCTACATCTGCCACAACCTGCCTCTCCGAGACCGAAACGCAAAAAAAACCAACAACATCGAAATCCAGAACTTGCCTCTTGTTATGGAGCTCCCTTTGACTTAAGTGAGCATGAGTTGTAAGGCAGGCATGTTGCCACACGTGCAAATAAAACAGATACGCACATCCTCAGGACTACGGCCACCGTAATCGAACTCCTACATGTCAACCTCTGACCCTAGCCTCGAAAGAACGCCTTCAAGACATCCCGATAAGCATGAAACCTCTTCATAAAGCAAGAACTTCCCTAAAGCCATTCTCTCCTAGCACCAAGAGAACGGAGCCTGAACCCTAAACCCCATAAAGCCCAAACCCAACTAACATGCAGGCCTCCGGCTAGGCCCTCGGCGTCCAAGGCAGCGATCTCACTCAGCAGGAGCTGCGGGACTCCTCCTGAAAAGGATGGTTTAGCCCTCAGGGTTTCAGGTTTCTTTTTTCTAGGGTTTAGGGTTTAGGGTGTAGGGTTTAGGGTTTAGGGTTCGGGTTGAAGGCCTTCCAAGCAGCTTCTCGCAAGTGCAACGTCGGGGTGTGGCTTTTCATAGGGCTCCAAACAAGAAGAATCAAGTGCTGTCGTAGAGTGGATAATATAGAGGCCCTTAGGAAATGGACTCGGGTTTGAGGGAGTATATTCTGGCAAGTCCCATCTCAAGGACTGCAGCGGGATACTGTTAGTAGTTATAGCGACTCCTATTATAGTAACGTGCCGGGCCTTCTGCCTCATCGAGCAGAAAGAATTGGGATCGAAGGAGCTTTCCAGAAGCCGCATCCACCTGCTAAGCCATAAGGATGTGGTTTGGGGTTTATAGGGTTTAGGATGTAAGCTTGTTTTAAGTGCAGTGGACTGTCGCTCACACGACCATTTAGGTTTAGGTTTAAGGGTTTAGGGTTAACAAGGTCAATACTTTCTAGCAGGGGTTTAGGGCTTTGGGGCTTAGGGCTGCTAAGCCAGCAACTGCAACCACCATCACTGCTGCTGCCAATACTTGACAAAGGAACAAAATAAAACACATCATAAATCAACCGAACACTAAACCCCAAAACCTTGCCAGGGATCATGACCAGAAGCAGTAAGGGTTCTCAGTATCAAGCTGCCCTTCTCGAAGACTTAGGGTGATAAGCCTTAGGATCTGGGGTATCGGGTTTAAGAACTAAGGTATAGGACAAAAGCGGGGGGTGTGTGATCAAATTTGCAGATATTTTCAGCATCCCCCCAAACCCTAAAACCTAAAACTCGAACCCACTTATGTCCCGCAAGGTAGCTTTTCTCAGTCGTTCTGTTGCAGCTCCTTCCATTTCTCAAAGTCTCCGAGCATTAGGCTCTGCTGGAAGTCACAATGCTCGAACTCCTCCAAAAAGGATGCGACACCTCCCTTGTGCCTCGGCTCCGATATAAGAACGGCAGAACATGCCCACACAGGCCTTCTACGCTTTAGGTTCGGGGTTAAACGGACTCTGTAGGTCAGGGTTGTCGGGCTTTTAAGGCTTCGGGCTTCGGGTCGGTCAAGACTTAGTCCACCCAGTTCATCGAATCTCAGAAGCTCAGCGGTACCCTTCTCTCAAGACTGGCGAGATTACCAGTAGGGAGGACTTGGGAAGGTGGCGGCGGCAGCAGCGGTGGTGGTGGTGGCATTACGACTACTGTTCTGAATACCATCAGCAGCAGCAGACTCACAGGGAGAAGTAGGAGGAGGACCGGGAGAAAGAGGAGGAGAGGAGTGATCGGCAAAACCACGTAGCACGGCCGGGGGGCAATTTGGCCGCCGTCCGACGCAGCAGATGTAGATCGGAGGCATTCAGGCCCTGGAGATGGCGAGCCGAAGCTGTATACCCTCATATAGGCCGTTTTAGGCTTGAGGTGAAGCCTGGGCCAAGTGTAGGGCCTCTTTGATTTGATGTATCTTGGCAGCTTCTCAGTACCGGTTAGTGGCTCCGGGAAGCTAAAAGACGTCAGCGCCGACGCCCATGTCCAAGGCGAAACCTGTTAGAACACCTGGAGGACCTCCGTAAACCCTTGAGATGGGAGCAATAACAAAGGGTATGTTGCACTATGGCTTTGTAGGGCCATATAAGGACGACAAGGCAATAATCAGGCTCACAATTATTTCAACCCCTTTGTTGTACAACTCCTTCTCGAAACTTTCTCGACTCCGAAGTGAACCTCTTGCGCATAACCTCTTGCCCCAAGGCCTCGGTAATCAGTCGCGAATTCCTTGCATCATTGGGCGCACGAAACTCAGTGACAGTGGGTATTGCGAAGCATCGCCCAGTCGGGTAGAGCTCTGCCTCGGGTTGAAGATTGTTTAGGGCTTGGGGTTTAGGGTTTAGGGTTTGGGGCTAGCTGCTTAGCTTTGCACCTTAAGGTCTGGGCTCTAGATGTCTTCATTGAAGGTCTGGAAGCTGGTCGAGTTGAATGACGGGCCATGTAGAAAAGCTGGTTGGCTTGTGATGGTGCGAGTGGCAAACAGGCAACTATTACATCTTACCTCGACCACAAGTAACAAGGTTCCAAACTCAGCCAGGGACCAAATAGGCAGCTGGGCGACGCGGGCACGGCGCGGTCTGCTTGTAAAAACGGCAGGGCTGCAGGGGCAGCACATTCTCAAGGGTGAAGGCTCTTCCGGAGCAGCTGCAACCATGCTTTGTGAAAAAGCCATCGATGGTCGTAGATATTAGATGCTCGCATTCACAGAAGCCGGTCTGCAAAGCTTCTCCGTCGACTGAATATGCTTCAAAATCGGCGACAGCCAAGAATGGCTTCGATCTGATGCATTTCATTCTGGACAGCTGTCCAGCCCACACCATTGCTTCAGCCTTAGTCCGTGGACCCTCTAGACCCCCACCCCCTAAACCCAGAGAACCCAATACCCCTTAATTCAGGAATATACAACCCCGAACCTAGAATGGAAAGCCGCTGTCTGCAGCCGAGGCGCAGCAGAAGACAACAGCATGCAGTAGAACCAGCCACGGGCAAGAAGCCCATCGCTAATTCTCTTCACGGCCCCAAACCTGCAAGATGTCATGTAGGGGCCTTCATAAGTGGAATAGGCTTCTTTATAGTATTGATATAATACGGAACCCTAACAGTAACACAGGTAATTATTAGTTAGGCTTCTATATTTCTTAGGGTCTGGGATGGAGGGTTCATGGCTTTAGTTTCTTGGGATTGAAGGCTTGTGGCTGCAACATTTGTCCGCACGACAGGCTCTACTGTAGAAGCAGATGTTAAGGAGCAGGAGACATCGACAACATGGGGGTTTCAGGCAAGAAGTTAGGACCCTCAAGCCCTAAACTTCAAGCTTCGTGCTATCATAGTGTAAGGGCTTCTGCAATTGGAATAAGGCTTTTGCGGGTGGGTTTGGTCCTTGTAGAGTTTACAGGGGCTATAGTTACAGAGGAGTGGTTTTACTCAATACTCAGACCCCTACAGTAAATCATGACTGACCCAGACACCAGGACGCCAACGTGTCAGCTCGCACCATGAAGTCCATGTCTCTGTCCACCACGTCTACTTTCCTCAGCGGGCAAGGAATAAAGTTCGAAAAGCAATGGCTTGGGGCCTGGGATTTGAGGGTTGATTACGGGCTGTAGGCTTCAGGGTTAATGATATCGTTTTCGGGGTTGTGGTAGATGTTGTATGCCGAAAAAGCGGATCGGGACTGTGGGCGATAGTCAATAGTCTTAGCGGTGTCTGAATGATCGCTATTAGCCTAAACTGTCATCCTCCGATCCCCTGCGCCCCTAACTGAGATGGACATTAAGCTTCAGGAGTGTGTACCTGAGGAATCAGCTAGGCGTCCCAGCACTCAAGTTGCCCTGGAGCTCGCCGTAGCGAACTAAACCAATCAGTGTGCCCTGAGTGGGGAAAAACTCAACATCGGCAGTCTGTAGCACAGCGAGGACATCTTCGAGAACCTGGGAGAGGCTTCCATTCCCCAACCCGCCCCGTCAGAAAACGGTTCCTTGAGCTGCATGTCAACTCCTCATTCATGAAGCCTGAGGATCTTATACTGGGTAGTCTTGCTGTGCGATCGCTCTACAGGGATTTCAAAAGGCATCGCAGCTAGTTGGCATGGGCTCCACAGGTATCCTATCTTCGCAGCTGTGGCATGAGACATTTGCTTGTTTGTTGCTGCTTAGATTCCTCAGTGGTCCTTGTGAGAAGCATCCTGTTGTTTGGTTAGGATCACCCATCTTCTGAAAGGGCCCTTTTGCTTCTGGGAATGCCCACATGATTCCGCATCGTTGCACGCTGTGGGGTATTATACGGTTGATGGACAAAATCCTGCATGACCTTAAGGACCCTAAACTATGGGAACTATGGTATATTCCTTATAGTGGGTAATGCAGGATTTTGTCCATCAGCCGTATGAGTTCGGGCGTGGAGGAAGGGAACAGTGTGAGCACCACTTACACTCCGACCCTGACTCTTAGACCTTCAGTCGCAACACCTCCTGCTGCTCGGAAGAACTGAGCACCACTTTGGGTATGTCTCCGACGTAGCTGAATGTTAGCAGCCTCCAGGGGTTGGTGGAAACAAGCTTCGGCGTTTCAGGCATTTGGGGTTGAGAGCTGCCTACCCCTACAACACAAAATCCCTACAACCCACACCCTAAACCCCTAAACCCCTAACCCCTAAACTCCAAACCCTAATCCTAAACTCGAAACCCTATATAAGCCCTATAAATCCCCAAACTACGCCCCGTACCAGGCCGTGGGGTGGGAGGAACCGGCAAGGACGTGACTCCACAGCGGCTAGAGAGCCAGCGTTGATCTTTGAGGATGCTCGGAAAACCTGCGTGGGTGTAGGGTATAGGGTTTATGGTTTAGGGTTTAGGGTTTAGGGTATAGGGTTTAGGGTTTAGGGTTTAGGGTTTAGGGTATAGGGTTTAGGGTTTAGGGTTTAGGGTAGGGTATAGGATTTAGGGTCTTGAGGGTTTTGCTTTGGAGGCCCCCCTGAACCGTAAACCCCATACCCCAAGCCCTACACCCTAATGCCCTAAACCCTAAAGCCTCAGTCGGTTTCGGAGTCCAGGAATTTCGGGCTGCAGGGTTTAGAGCTTTAGTTGGCAACTTGTCGAGGCTGATATGATGTGTTTTCGGGTTCTGTAGACTTTCATGATACAAAAAAAGTTAGGGCTAGCGTTGACGGACTATCAGGGGTAGGGATTTCGGCATAAGGTTTGGAGATTATAATAGCTACTGGTCGTGTCGCGGTGTGTAGGTGTTGGGGCAGGAAGCTTGCCAGGATTTTGAGGGATTCTGGTGCTCGGGCATGTGTACTACAGCGACAGCAGCTGTGTTGCCAGCGGGTGTACGAGAGCTACGGCTTCATGGGCGTAGTCAGTGAAATGGTATTGTGCATCGTTCCCTTCCTATGGTTAACTACAGCTGCAGATCTATTCATAAAGAGCCTACACACCCCAAACCCCGAAACCCCACATCCCTCACTTCTACAGACGAAGCTGGGCACATAAGCAAACCAAAATCCCCCAGAACCTAGGTGTAGCCATCACAAGATTAGAATTCTGAATGTAAAGCCCAGACAATATAAGCTCCACGAGCACCTACTTAGCAACCCCCGCCCTGTCATCCCCCTGAAGCCCAAACCCTAGACATCTAAGTACTTAACGTAGGGGCCTGAATAATTAGAGTAAGGCTTTTTGGCTCCTTTATAGCATAATTAGAATAAGGAGCCTAAGAAATGTTATTGGTAATTATTTAGGCTTCTAGAGTAACCTTGATCCTGATGCTCAATTTCAGAACCGAGATG